CTCTCTCTCTCTCTCTCTCTCTCTCTCTCTCGCCCCCTCTTTCTCTCTCTCTCTCTCTCTCTCTCTCTCACACACGCACACACACACACACACACTTCCTCCTTCGTTACTTCGTGGCTGAGCTCCGCGGCTATGGCCTTCTTCTTCTTCTTCGTTGGACCACACAACGATCTTCACAGGTACGTGAAAACCAATCTTGTATCTCTCTCTCTCTCTCTCTCTCTCTCTCTCTCTCTCTCTCTCTCTCTCTCTCTCTCTCTCTCTCTTCGTGCCAGCAACAATGGCGGCGGCACGGCTAGACAGCGGCAGCATAACGGCAACAACATCAACTGTTGTTGTTTCAGACAAATGTCCGCATTTATCTGAAACGGCAACTGCCTGGGCCGGGATCCACCCCCCCACACACGCCCTACCCACCGGCACCTTGAAAAAGGGCCTTTTTTTTTTTTTTTTTTTGCGCTAAAATATTTAAAAAAAAATGCTGCACCATACTTGGGCGGTCGGCCGTGGCCGAACCCGGCCAATTCGGCCGCCGGCCTTGACTGCAGCCGATTTTTGGTCTCCGGTCATGACTGGGCGTGCAACATAACCGCAGATTTATCAAGGGTTTCACGACGATCGCACGACCTCTAACGAATCTTCTGCGTAAGGACCAGCCCCTATGGTGGGACACTGAGTGCGAGCGAGCCTTTGTCACTTTGAAGAAGGCCCTGGTTACTGCGCCTATTTTAATCCGGTCGGACCCGCAAAAGCAGTTCATACTCATTACGGACTGGCGGCCTGAAGCGATCTCCGCTATTCTAGCCCAGAAAGGGAAAGATGACCGTGAACACGTCATTGAGTATGCTTCTCGGACAGTGCCTGACGAGAGGAGAAACAATTCAGCTCCTCAGGGAGAGTGTTACGCAGTGGTTTGGGGAATTCAACATTTCCATTTGTATATCTACAGACAAATGTTCCTCCTCGTCACGGATCATGAGCCCTTGCTGGCCCTCAAGAGGCTTACCAACTACACTGGTATGATTGGACGTTGGGCGGTACGATTACAAGAGTACGATTTCGATATCGTCCATCGGAAGACGAAGAAGCATTGGAACGCTGACGGCTTGACACGTCTGCATCGACCCGACAAGGTGATTAAAAGTGAGGAGATTACCCCGTGGAAGGAACCAGAACCAACCAACGAGTGCTCATACGGATAGGTGGCCATCCTTCCTCGAGCTCCTAAGGGTTGAATTGACACGATGTTGATGTGGTGTGGAGGTAATCCCGAAGGTCCCCTTTCTCCTCTCTCATCCTCCTCCTTCTCCTCCCTACCTGATAAATTTTGCTATTTTGTGAGGCAATTTCGAGAGTCTACTCGGTCCCTATGCGACCGAGTGGGGAAGGCTATGTTGAGTGGGTAGATTGTCAGCGATGTGTTTCCTGAGCCCATGGTTCCTGTATACAATACCGAAATGCGGACAAACCCTGACTGTGTCCTCTGTGTCGCAATGATAAAATTCCGACGGAGGTTCGATTTCTCGAAGCCACGTCCAAAGGATTAGAAAAGACCCGACGATTTAGAAGGGCTAAAGTGTGGACAAATGTCGTCTTGATAGCTACGGTGGTTGGGAACCCCCTCCAAAATTTCACAAAGGAAGATCGGAGACGGGCCAATAAGAGAGCTTGGGATTACCGATGGAATGAGGGACGGTTAGAAAAACGGAAAACGAACAGAAGCGGGATTTGGATGTCTGTCCCGCATCCGTTCGTGAGGTACGACTGGGTTAAGTCAGCCCATGAGGAAACTGCAGCCCATTTTGTTGTCCGAATCACGGAGGCGGCGATTGATAAAAATGAGTGGTATTGGTCCAATATCTGAGACGATGTTAAGTTCATCATCCGAAATTGTCAGGTTTGCGCCGCTGACAAGGCGCCAATTCAGCCGCCTAGGTTGATAATGCCTACCGTAGTCGAACGGCCATTCCAGAGGGTTAGTATGGATACCACCGATATTGTCGTCCCCCCTGGACCTAATAGATGCGAGTATTCAATTCTACTGGTATTCGTAGACCATTTCTCGAAATGGATCGAGGCCTAGCCCTGCAAAACGCGACAGGCAGCCGAAATCACGCGATACGTCAACCGTTTCCTCGGGATGCACCCGTACACCGAGGAGATCCTGACGGACAATGGGGCAAAATTTAGAGGAGAAGTCTTGAAGAATTTAGTCTTACACGGTGTCTCTATCCGTAACACCGCTCCCCACATGTTGCAATCTAACGGAATGGTGGAGAACGCCAATCGAGTGATTAAGACCGCTTTGCGACACAATATCGTGGCAAATGACACGAGGCCTTGGCCCGATATCGTGGACCATATCCTAGCTATCCACCGGGGGACACCCCATGAATCCACGGGCCTGACCCCCTTCCAGCTACGGACCAATAGCCTACCCTGTGTAGCCCTACCGAGCCTAAATGATGAGACGGCCCTTCCGCGACGGATCACTAGGGCGACGGTTAAGGATAAGGCCCAATGCCACCTAGAACTTATGGAAAAGGTCCTCCCCCGACTGACCCGAAAACGACCACGAATGACAGAAATGGCCCATGGGAGACAGGTCAGGAGCTATGAGGCCCGGAATGGGAACGCTTGGCCTCGGCCCCAATATAAATTAGGGGACATCATACAGGTGAGGAAATGTGTTCGCCAAGGCAAGTTAGCGCCACGATTCTTCGGGCGATTTCGCTTGGTCGAGCTCGGTCCCAACGGGGTGAACACGGTGCGGCTTGCGCCGGAGGTGTCGGGAAGTCGATCGACTCGCCCGATCACTCGACACGTGTCCTACCTTCGTCCTCTCCCCTCGTCTCCTTCTCCTCCATCATTTGCATCGTCCCTCGGTCAAGAGGAAGACGATGACTATCTAGAATCCTCTTTTCTCTGTCAACCGTCGTCTTCGACTCCGCCTTCATCGCCATGAGTTTTTCGACGGAGCAGGTGATCAACGAGCGTCTGATGACCTCGAGGGGGCGTATAGCGACAATCCGGCAGGTGCAGCGACCTCGGTTGAGCCCTGATCTCCTTCGATTTGCAGCCTTCTTCAGCATAGCGGCCATCCACGCAGCAGCAGAGTTTTGTTTCGTACACGCAGGGGCGACGCATGTACTGGCCGAGATTTCGGCTTTCCAATGCTTGTCCTCGTCCGGTGTAAGCCACATATCCGTCATCGTCACCTTCACGGGTGATATCACGACGCTGCACCTAACGATTCATACGGACATCTATCGACAGTTGTGGGGTTGGTCCAAGGAGATCACAGCCACGTGGGTTGAGTTGTTGGCTCGGCGGGGGGAAAGGATCGTGACCACGAATGACATAGACCTCCGACTCCACACCTCCAGCAGCGCGCCGGAGATCCTTCTCCCGGAGCTCCTCCCCTTTGAGCGGCCCCAATGAACCGTCATCGTCTCTCCCTCTTCAACCTTCCGTCTGATCTCCCCACCTTCTGGCAATCTGCTGTCGATCCCGCCCTCCCTTTCCGAATCCGGGAGCTTAGCATACCGATCTTGGACGAAGAGAAGTGGAACGGGTCGTGGGACGCCTACGTAGAGCTCAACTTTTGTTTGGTGTGCGTGGTGTTTCATTAGGTGGAGCCAGCCCCCGAAGCTGAAGGGGGTAAGGTTCAAGACGACGAGGTGGAACTGTTGATCGTGCAGGCTTGGCGGACGAGTACGGAGGGAGAATTGGTGGGAATACTATTCAACAAGGTGGAGGAAGGTCACCTGGACGCAATTACAGACGAATTGTTGGTATTCTTGGCACAGCTGGTGGACAATTTGCCCCTCGATATCCTATCGAGGTGTGACGAGAAGCCGGGGACTGACGTGCTCCCTCGCACGCTTGCGCCACATCTGATGTGGTCCACGTGTACAAAGCTGGACGGGGATAACTACTTCTACCTGTCCCCGAGCCTTTACCTCAACATTGACGTCACCGATCTCACACTGTGGGACCCTTCTGTCCGACGGGGAAACGCGCTAGGAGCCAGTGACGAAGAAGAGGAAGAAGAAGAAGAAGAAGAGGAGTCGGAGGAAGAAGAACCGAGCGCTGATCGGGACGATCACGACTACATTGGGTCGGAGGAGGAGGGAGAGGAAAGTAGATCGGGAGAGTCGAGTAACCGTCTTCTGCGAAGCAAAGAATAGAAGGAAGCGGAAGCTCAGCGGAGGCGGGAGAAAACGGAGGGCAAGCGGGCGGTCGAAGAATCAAGAGGGCCGCAACCACAGCTACTGTTGGGTGATCCATCGCTGAATCTGGAGCCACCGCGCGAATAATCCAATGGAGCCAAAGCGGAGGGATCAGGAAACCTACGCTTCCGAAGGAGTGAATCCCCGACTCCGTCTTCTCCACCATCCCGAGCTACTCTTCGCCTTCGTGGAGATACGGGCGATCGGGCTTCGTCCCCGGCCGTTATCCCATCGTCCCCTTGACTTCCTCACCCCTCACCAACTCCTGGGACAACCCCCGTTCCCTGATGGATGGTGCCGTTTCCCGCCATCTCTCTTCCACCAGTTCTACGCCACCCGCCTTCTTGTCACCGTCGTCCTGCACGCTACCACCCGCTCCTTCGTTGCCTCCTTCCGTCTCCATGTCCTTCTCTTCAGTATGGCCTGGCGGGAATTTAATAATATCGAAATCTACTGCATCATCTCGGGCACAATTCTCGCCTGTGAAAATTATGAGAACTTCCTTGCTGCTATCCCTCGCACCCTCTCCACCCTCTACCCCGACTATTTCGCCTCTCTCCCTCATCAACAGGAGCACCCCCGATTCCCCCGCATCCACCGCACCGTCCACTACACCCGGATCCCCACGAGTGACAGGGAAATCCGGCGCTTCGTACCTCCCCTTCCCCAAGTCCATCCATCACCTCCTCCTCCCGTTATCAGATTGCCCTTCCCTGGAAACGTTTGAGGGAGAGCCCACGAATGCCACGACTGAGTGACTTTCACACTCTTATCTTACGGTTTGTGGCACGTGTGAGCTCCGCGTCGATCCTCGGGATATAGATCGGCGCATAAGTATGTGAGCAAGCGGGAGCTTGCTCAAGATTGGAACCCCCTGGGCGTCACATATGTGACGAAACATTTTTTGTAATCGCTCGACTTTCTAAGCGAGGTTGCCTTGGGGAAATGGATGGGTCGGATGGATGAGCTGTGGAAAGATAGGTCGGTCAGGCAAATTGCATGGATGCCCTCGTTTCCTTTTGTTTTCTGTGGAAATTTGTCGGGTCGGTGTCAGGAAAGTCCTGCGCCAACGATTGGGTAGCCGCGCCTTAGCGAGTGGGACGGACAACCGTGGTCATGACTTCTTTCTTGTTCTTCTGAGAGCACTAGGAATTTTTGGTGCGATCATCGCGCGGGAATATTGTTTTTGAATTTCAACTGACGTCGAGCCCCCACGGGCTCGCGAAATTGTTTTTGGGCTCTTCGGAATTTCCTTTCTACAATTAGGACTTAGGCTAGTAATTTAGCTACTCTGAATTTTGTTGCGCCGCGCTTCTCACTCGCACACATTCTGCTGCGCTAGGAACTGGGCTCTGACTGGATCATGCCCTTAATCTTGTGTAACTGTCACTTTTGGTGGGCGCGATTGTAACTGTATCTCTCTCCTTTCTTGATTTCCTCGTCTTCTTCTTCTTTGCCTTGCTTAATGCTCTGTTCTGATTGGCCTGAACGCCAGTATCGTCAGATCGATGCGTGGAGTGCGGCTACGACCCCCACGCCACGGTCTGGCCATGCAGACGTAGGCACTTCCTCTCTTCTCCTCCTGACCACTTGGGCTTAATCCCGTACCTTTCGCGCAAGCATGCATGCTATAAATTTTGCAAGCACGATTAGTTTGCTCTCTATGAACTTTGGAGTTAGCGCGATCAGTGAGGGTCGGCTAACAAGTCAGCTTGAGAGGTGAGTCGACGAGAGAGTTGGGCAATCCGACGAGCTGGTGTCGGGTATGCGGGGTTGACGTGCGGGCCGCGACGGACTGTGGCGCACGGGCGAACCTGGCTTGCATGCTCGAACCAAGCAGGGTGACAACTCTGTGTTGATGCGCGGCGACGGACTGCCCGCATCGGGGAATGTAAAGAGAGAGAGAGAGAGAGAGAGAGAGAGAGAGAGAGAGAGAGAGAGAGAGAGAGAGAGAGAGAGAGAGAGAGAGAGATCCTCCCTGGTCCATCCTCCCCCTTCGCGACCTCCCTCCCTCCAAACACTCGGTTATCCCCCCTCCGTCCCGCCCTCCGTCCCTCCCTGCT